TACCAGCAATGTGGAAGGGTTCTTTCCCCCCTACATCTTTTTTTTTTTTAATTTATTTTTCCTTGAGACAGGGACTCATTACGTAGTTCAGATTGACTTTGAACTCACTGTGTAGCCTTTGAACTCATTATGAGGCAGCGATCCTCCTACCTCAGCCTCCTAAATGCTAGAATTACAGGTGTGCACCTCCATCCCCAGCTGTCACTACATCTTTGCCAGCAAGCATTGTGTGTGTGTGTGTGTGTGTGTGTGTGTGTGTGTGTGTGTGTATGCTTGAGGATAGACATTCTGATTGGGATGGAATATCAATGCAGTTTTGATTTGCCATTTTCTTACTGGCTAAAGATATTGAATATTTTTTTCTGTATACTTATTGGCTATTTGTATTTCTTTTAAGAACAGTTTATCCAGTTCATTTGCCCATTTATTGATTAGCTACTTGATTTTCTTTCGGTACCTGGGATCGAACTCATGATCTTGCACTTGCCAGGCAGGCACTTACACCACTGAGCTCAGTCCCCAGCCCTTGATTTTTTTGGTATTGTCTTGAATATTTTAGATATTAATCTTACATTGGCAAGGTAGTGGGCAAAGATTTTCTCCTATTCTGTAGGCTGTCTGTTCACTCTGTTGGTTGTTTCTCTTATTATGCAGGGACTTTTTAATATGATGCAGGCCTGCCTCTTTGGATCCTTACTATTTCTTGAGCTATTGAAATTCTACTTGGCAAGACTTTGCCTGTGCCTTTGGATGGCTTCAAGTTTCCCCTCTAGTAGGTTCATCCCCAAATGTTTAACAATGTTTTAAACTAGTATTTCTTTTTCTAACGGTTAGCAAATTCAGATGTTTTTATATCCCCTACACTCTTTCCTTTCTCATTCATTTTTATGGTAATAGTGATAATTAGTGCTAATTCAGAACTACTGAAACTCTGGAGAGATGCGGAGACACTTGTTTTTAAAACGGAACGCTTTTTTAGAAGTGCATTTTTCCCCAAGGGAAACAACCATTTTAAAACCAAGTCTCTGACATGCCCTCCACGCCTCCCTCAGCAGCGAGTAAAGAGTTTCACGCAGTTTGGGGTCGAAGCTTGTGCTTCACCATCCGGCAGCTTGCCTGCCCCAGGCTGCCCCGCTGAGGTGGGCCCGCGGAGATCGCCGGTGGTCCTGGACTCAGGCTCGCTCCGGCGAGGCACCGGGACCGGCTCTGTCCCTGCGATCCCCGCCTGGGCTCTGCGGCTCCGGCCGGCGCCCCGCCTGCCCGCGGCGAGGCCGGATCGGGGCCTGAGCGCCGCCTCCCTCCGCTGGCGCGCTCGCGGGCTCCCGCCTCCTCCTCCTCCCGCCCGAGCAGCGCAGCGCAGCGCAGCGCAGCTCCGCACTGCAGATGCCGCCCGCCTCCCCTGCTCGGCGGCTCCCGCGGTGACCCCGGAGCGCCGGCCGCTCCGCACCGCCCGCCCGCCCGTGGGACCCTCGCTCGCCCTCCGGGACGCGCCGAGCCCGCGCGCACAGCCGCTCTGCCGGCGGGCTGCGGGGGACCGAGGCGGGCGGTGGCCGCGCCGAGCCCGGGTCGCTCCGGATGCGGCAGGACAAGCTGACCGGCTCCCTGCGGCGCGGGGGCCGATGCCTGAAGCGGCAGGGCGGCGGCGGCGGCGGCGGCGGCGTGGGCACCATCCTGAGCAATGTGCTCAAGAAGCGCAGCTGCATCTCGCGGACCGCGCCCCGGCTGCTCTGCACGCTGGAGCCGGGTGAGGACCCGGGCTGCAGGGGACGCCGCACAGGCGCGGGGCTCGGCCGGGCCAGGCCGCGCCGCGGTGGTGCCGGAGGACCCTGGCGGCCCGGGAGGGCGCGGCGCGGTGCGGGGCCGGGGTGGGCGGCAGCGCCGAGCGCTGCGAGCGCGGGGACGTGCGGTTCTGCCCGGCAGCCAGGGGTCGCGCCTCCTATTGTGCTCCCGGCTCGCAGGAGGCCAGACCGTGAAAACACTGCGCAGGGCCGAGAAGGGCGCAGGACTGGCCCCGGAGGAGGTCGGAAGGGAAAGCAGCGCTGAGAAGACAGTGGACTACAGTGCGTTCCCTGAGCGTCCCTGCGCGAGCGCCAGGGCAGCTCGCCTGGAGGCTCCGACCTGTGTTTCTGCGTTCGGGCGGGGAGGAGGCGGGAGAGCTCGCTGTGGCTCGGTCCGGGAGCGCGCCTGGCCGGCGAGGGTGGGCCCTTTCCGCCGCTACCCTGTGTTTACACAGCCCAGCATCTCCCGGCTGCCCGACTCCCCTGGCATCCTTCCCGGGGGTTTTAGTGCCCGGCCCTGCCTCCTGCGCACGCAGGTATCTGCAGGAGCCCAGGGAGCCGGCTGTATTCGCGCCGGTGCTTGGCGCCTACCTTTCCCCGGAGTGGCCCCAGCTGGGCTGCACGCGGGTACCTCTTCTCCCTGCACCCTAATGCCTCTGGGACCGAATCTCCTACCCAGCTGCAGGAGATTCGGCCCAGGCACCAAGTCCCCAAGGGGGCACGCATCGCTGCTTTCCGGACCTCGTGGTTTCTTTGTTTTTCTCCCCCTGGAAGTGTCTAGTTGCAGAGACTGTAGTATTTATTCACCGTCTTAAACCCCCCCCCCCACCCCCCTTTAAAGAATCTCCTTCCCACGTTAACAGTGTTTTGTATTTCTGAATCCAGAACAGCTGTGGTTATCAGATGAAACATAAGCCTTCTCCCTTCCCTTATTCAGTTAGAAGAAAAGGGTTGAAAATGACCTGATTTAAGCTTTGCACGCAGGCGGCGAATGATCGCTTCCACTTAAATCCTCTGGCTCATTCTCAATCATGAGAAAGTAGCTGCGGTTTTTGGCTAACCCCAGCTGCGATTCTGCAGTCAGGTAATCGACACGACGCCAGACAGGTGCCCCCTGAACGTCAGAGGAGCATATTTGGTCAAACACATAGAGAACCCAGCAGGTTTTTAGGGTGGTAGAAATAAATTAGCGGGAGGCTGGAGTTGCTGGTCTTTGTTGTGGTAAAGCAAACGTCTGGATTACACGCTCCTCCATTCAGCACTTTGACCCTGGACAGCACCCTCGCCACTCTCTATTTCTTAGGGTTTTACCATCCGTGCCTTGAAGCTGGAGACTCTCTTGGGGTCCCTCTATCGCTCCAGGGGCAGGGCTGCTTTAAAAGGATCCCACAGAGATGACACCCCATGGGAGATTTAATATTCCTTTAGAGAAGAAAGTCATCTATCCAGGCATAGTATGGTTTTGAGCCAGAAGGTTTGAAAAGAAGTATTAAGGCATTGACTGCATACCTGGGATTCTCTACCATCCCTTGACTTCAGAAATCTAGGTCCCAATACGTGTAATCAGAGCTCTCTCCCAGGACTCCAAGAAGAGCATTAAATACTGTCGTACACTTGGGCAAAACAGACACATTTTTTTTCCTGTTTCTTCACTTTCTCTATATGTCTTTAAAACACTAATCTGCTTTGTAATAATAGTGAACAATAATGTAATGATAATTAAACACTATTTCTATATAAGCTCTGAAGGTTGTTCCTAAGCATTGGGGGTTTTGGAGAAGTTTTCAATATACCCAACCTGCAATCAACATCTTTGGGGCAAAAATATTGTCTTCTGATTTTTTGCAATTTGTAAAACTGAATGTTGTCGACAGTGTTGGAACTTTAAAACAATAAGTCTTTTAAAAGTAACTTAAAATGTCATTGATTTTGAAATTGAAAAAGAATGGGGCTGGGGATTTAGCTCAGCGGCATAAGCACCTGCCTTGCAAGCAGGCGGTCATGAGTTCAATCCCTGGTACCGATGAAAAGGAAAAAGACAAAAAAAAAAAAAAAGAAATTGAAAAAGAATGTATAACACTTCAGATTTGATTATAGTTTTTAGAGGATTTAAGAAGGGATAGGAATTGTCATAATTTCACTGCAATAACAGCGCATAATTCTTCTATGGAATTTTGAATAAAAGCATTAATTTAAGTATTAACACTTATGTCCATACACTTTCCCATTTGTTTTCTTTTATTCCCTGGATTTAGGATTCTAATGAAATAATTTTAATATAAAAGTGTAGATTATTTGGGATTAGAATTTGGTTGTACTTTTAGCTTGTTTATAATTTAACAGACACGCATGATTTGTCTTCAATAAGTGCATCAAGACAATTTAAGAACATTTGAAAATATCCAAATGTAATTGTTAAATGGAATTGTTATAATGGATCATTCCATTATAAGAGGAGAGGCAATTATCTCCTTTCCTCTTTCTCTTTCTGTCATCTTCCCTCTCTCCCTCCTTCCCTTCTTTCCTTGGTTGTGCAGGATATCAAACGCAGGGCCTTCTGCATGCTTAGGCAAGTGCTGTACTGCTGAACTACATCCATGGTTCCATGATACCATTTTACAGCTTTTGATACTGAAGTTTCCTTAATAGTCTTAGTCTATGCAAATATACTAGAAAAACAAACTCTGCTAAGAATTCTGTTTGTATGTTTCATAAATATTAACTATACCATGCTAGGAGATTTATGATTAATCACGATACCAGCGCTCTGATAGACAATATTATCCTCTTTTTTTTTTTTTTTTTTGTCTTTTTCGTTTTTATCGGTACCAGGGATCGAACTTACGACTGCCTGCTTGCAAGGCAGGTGCTTATGCCGCTGAGCTAAATCCCCAGCCCCTAATATTATCCTCATTTTAAAGATAAAAGAATTGCATATGAGACGGGTTAGTTTTTTGGTGTCTAGGAAGTAAAGTTGAATGAAGGTCTCTGTGACTGTGCAAACTGTCACCGTACGTAATAAGCTCAATTCTATTAACATAAGGTATTTTTTATTTTAATAATCAAGGTACTTTAAAAAAAGATCCTTTTTATTTTAATACAACTAATTAAAATTTAGTAAAAATACATATTTAAAAATACGATACATTAATAGAATCAAGCTTTTACTTTGACTTGTTATAGTTTCTATAAATATATAACTGCTTATGTATTTTCTTTTAGGGGTTGATACAAAATTGAAGTTCACTCTTGAGCCATCTTTAGGTCAAAATGGTTTTCAGCAGGTAACTTTATTTTTGGCTTTGGCTATGCTCATTCTGGGGAGTAAGCAGGGTGCACTGAGATACATTTTTAAAGTGAGAATATTGCTATTTATTTTGATTTGCATAAGAAGATACCATTTTATTTTGTTTAGTTTCAGATAAAAACTTTTGAAACTGCAACTAACCTGGTTTATACTTGCTATGAAAAATTTTGTAGTTTCCAAAAATTGTACAAGTGAAAAACATTTTAATAAGCAGATTTCTGTTACTCTTTATACATGTTTAGGTTTTTGAACCAGAGCTTCCAAACTCTTGTATGTGTATCATCACAGGTGTTTTTAGGATTCTTAATGGGTGGGGTTTGGGGCCAGTTACAGCCCCTAGACTGATAACTTCTGGTTGAAAGAAGTTTTACTTATTTTTCTTGTGTGCTGTTCTATGAAGTCAAGTTTATCATGTTCTATGGAAGTCAAGATAGAGAAAAGTTTGAAAAGTGTTTCTCCAGGTTAATATTCTCTGATATTTTCTTCTTGTTCCCAGTGGTATGATGCCCTCAAGGCAGTTGCCCGATTATCAACAGGGATACCAAAGGAATGGAGGAGAAAGGTAGGTGGGTTCATAGGACTGCAACACAAAGGGTCCACATGTGTCCTTCTTGAGAGTGTCTGGAATGTCAAAGTGTATTCTAGGTTTAGAAATCTGACTTTTGTCTCTTCATCACTCATGCATACACTAAGCATATACTGATCCATTCATACTGTTCTAGGTGCTATTCTAGGTGCTAGGGATGCAACAGTGAAAACAAAAACAGACAGGAGTTTTTGTCCTCATGGAGCTTATAATGAATAAAATATAAAGCATGTCAGATGGTGATAAATGCCATGGATAAAAATAAAACATAGAAAGAGCTAAGGTGAGTGTGGAAGAATGGGGTAAGCAGGTGGAATTTTAAATAGCAAAGTCACATGTGAGTAGGGCCTTGAAAAGGGTGAGAAGTCAGCCACACAGCCACCTGGGAGAAGACAGGCCAGCTGGGAAGAGCCAATGGAGATGCATGCAGGTGGGAGATCTCAGGGATGTTGAAACCCAAGTAGTGGGTGGTGATGGTGGGGGAAGAGTGGAGCAGAGAGCAACAGGGAAAAGCCATAGGAGAGAGGGTCACAGAGGAAATCTGATTCTGATGCTTAGAGGTCTAGTTGGAGATATTAATGATATAGTAAGATATCAATGCTGTTTCTGCTAGGGTATGTTGAAATACCAAGACTTGGAGTGTTTCTTAGGTTATTAATTTATAAATCTAGTTTTAATGCTTCTGGGGTTCAAGTATTTAGGCACCCTAAAAATAAAAATGGCATTATGAAATACATTTTCCACAAACAGATTTTCTAGGTAAGATACATGAGTAAAAATATCCAATGCCTTTTTAAAAAAATTATTCATTGTGCAAGTCCATCTGTCAGTTTTATGTGTGTGAGGGAGGATGAATTAACAGCAGAGACCTCCAGGATGAAAAAAGTCCATTTCTTATGAATGATCAAGTGGCTTTTACCCAAACATAGCAATTTATTCTAGGCAAATGCCTGCCATTGAGCTATATCATCACTTAAAAGAGAACAATTCAAAGCCAAGTTAAAAAAAAAAACACAGCTAAAATAAAATTTCAGTGAGCTGAAATAAAATTTGAAATTTTATTCTCAGTAGCACTCATAATAGTGGGATTGTTACTTGGCATATAGTATGAACTCAACAAATATTTATGAAAGAATTGATGAAAAGCCCTAAAGGGTACAATTTAGTATAGTAAAAATTTTGAGGAGGCTCTTGTAAGATCTCTATGTACAAGCTACTTCTGGTCTAGGAGCAGTTCTCACTTTCTTGTTGGATGCAATAATTATTTGCTAATAAAAGTGGAACTGCACATTCTACTTTAGCAATCATCTTTGTGTAATATTTTAGGTTTGGTTGACCTTGGCAGATCACTATTTGCACAGTATAGCCATCGACTGGGACAAAACCATGCGCTTTACCTTCAATGAAAGGAGTAATCCTGATGATGATTCCATGGGGATTCAGATAGTTAAGGTAACACCCCGACCCTGGTCTTTTGTTCTAACCCATCCTTGAGAGTCAGATGATTCCAACACAGAGGATCAGCTGATCTCTGCATTAGGGTCTGAAATCTATGTGTTTTTTGCCTCCTCATGTCATTAATTAAGAACTTTTTAAAATGGGAAGCCTTGACTACCCTTGTCTTTATGATTTTAATTAAGAAGAAATTTTTCCATTTCTATTTAGTTTGTCTTCCTCACACAATACAAGATTGAAATCCCCTCCCCTTTCTTCCATGTAGTTTGGGTCAGTGCTGTCAACTGTGTTTTTGCATTGTAGTCAGTCAATGAGAAATTAAGTATACTTCATATTAGAATCATTTGGATCTTACTAGGGTATTTGATAACTCTTTAACTGCTAATTTATATAGTTAGGTTGACTGATGGATCTAGTTTAAAGCAGGTGGATGAGCGTTCTAGTCAGCTGTGCAGGCAGCTGTGCTTTACCTACCTGGAATATTATATTTGCTTAGAATCCAGTGCTAAAAGCCAAGGATGCAGATTTCATTTGATTCCTGAATAATCTTCTTACATAAGGCTTTAGCACATGGTTTTTTATTTCATGAGTGGATTACAGTGTGATGCTAAGCTCAGATTTTAAAAGGAAAGTTGTTTCATCTAAATTTTGGCTGCCACACGATGGCTAATGTTTTGCATAATTGAATATACTTTCTAAAGGAGTAAGTACTAAAATGAGCTACTTTCCAGTCTAACTTGGTCCGTTTCTGTCAAATGCTAAAAAAAGTGTAGCATTTCACATGGCATTCTGAAAACCTTTGCATTATTCACATTTCAGTTGTTCACTTGGAATTTCAGAACAGGTTTTACAGAGACAAGTATTTCATATCTGAAGTGTTTTCTTTCTGTTTAACTTGTAAATTAAAACACTGAACATTTTATAATCATGTTATTAAGACGATCTCTTATTTGCTCATTGGGATGAATGCTATGTCAGTAAAATGACTTCAGCTCCTGAAAATCATAGAGTCTGCTCAGTAACTAAATTATAGATATTGCCCTCATTACATATTAAAGCCCACAAATGTTTCTCTTCTTACATAAATTTATAAAATAATTTGGAGTGATTTTTCTGCCTCTTTATAGTTCAGATACCTTTTTGCTATTTTTATTTTGTTCTTTAATATTTAGAGTTTTAATAGCTACATATACCATATTTTTGAAGGGAGGCATTGGCAATGCAGGCTTGTAATCCCAGCACTAAAAGGCTAAGGCAGGAGGATAACTGCAAGTTCGAGGTTAGCCTAAACTACATAGTAAGATCCTGTCTCAAACAAATGTATATATACATATTGTGTAGAAAAGAATAATATTAACATTCTATATATGTTGAAATGATTTGTGCAAATATTTCATATATCAGTACTGTACTATAATTGTATGTAAATTATGGTGTAATTTTTGTCGAATCACTTTTTTGTGTTAGTTCTGGAAACACTAAGTGGAAAATTAGCTTGAATGAACTCCTTGTACATTTCTCTCAACATATTAAAAACATTAGGAAAAAAACCTAAAAAATAAAAAACTGTTTGGCCCATGCCTATAACTTTCACATACATTTTGAAAGCTAAAATCGAGGCTGGGAATAGCATGCACAAGGCCCTATGTAGCATGAACTCCCCAGTGCTGAAAAATTTAAATCAAAGCAAAAAAAAAAAAAAAAGGTTACTAAAAGTCGTGTTGATAATTTAATTGTATTAAATGAGTAGACAACAGGAGGTATTATTGTTTTGCGGGGAGTATTGAGAGTTATTTTTAAAAATTGCTTCCTTCTTTTTTAGGACCTTCATCGGACAGGCTGTAGTTCTTACTGTGGCCAGGAGGCTGAGCAGGACAGGGTTGTGTTGAAGCGGGTGCTTCTGGCTTATGCTCGGTGGAACAAGAATGTTGGGTACTGCCAAGGTTTTAACATCTTGGCTGCACTAATTTTGGAAGTGATGGAGGGCAACGAAGGGGATGCACTGAAAGTGAGTATCAGGCTGTGGTAGAAGTAACTGAACACTTTTACAGTGACATTCTCTGCTCATATGCCTCTCCCCTTCCCAAGGTGTCTTCAGAGCTTTTGTGATTCCCTGTGATTGCGTCTCTCCTAAGTTAAGACCATATCAAATAAAGACTGATGTGGCTGCAAACTGTGAGGACAGTATAGTCTCACTTGTCAGTCAAGTTGCTATTTAAAACAAATTAAATATTATATTAATTACCCATTTGTGGATTAACAGTTTAGCTACTTAAAACATCACACATGTATTACCTCATAGTTTCTTTGAGCCACATATCTGGGCACTGCTTAGTCTGCTCAAGGTCACCTCACTGTGGCATTCAAAATTTTGGTTATGGTCTCATCTGAACCCTCGACTGGTGTCGGGGAGTGGTATCTGCCAAATTTTTTTATGTGGTTATTGGTGAGACTTGATTCCTCACAGGCTGTTGAACTGAGAGTCTCAGTTTTTTTCCTGGCTGTTGGCTGGAGGCATCCTTTAGATCCTTGTCACATAAGCCCCTTGAGCACTGTAAAACCTGGTGGCTGGAATTTCTCAGAGTGAGCAAGAGAGTTAAATGGAGCAAGCAGTGCAGAAGACTTTGTTACAAATTTGTAGCCAAATATCAGAAGGGACTATGTGATTGTGACCACTGGAAGATAGGGATCACTGGAGGTCATTTTAAAACCTGCCTCTTCTGCTGGTTATTTTTGATTCTGTTGGGACTGTCCTATTTGGTTCCTTTACTCTTTCACTTTTGGAGAAAGGTATGGAGGAGGAGGTCTGAGAGTGTCTATAGAAGATGTCCACATGGAGGAAAGTTACGGATGTGACTTATATCATCTGTTACTGTTTGATGCCTCAAACCTTTATTAATGAAAAGATTGTTCTGAAACCACTTTAAGATGAAACATTAGTAATGTAAGCTTACAGGTCTGAAGGCAATTTGGTGAGTCACTAAAATAATCTTTATGAGGAACAAAGCTTTTCCAATGCCATATGGCCTTATTTTCTTAGGGCAGTGTGTGTTGCCAATTCGTATTTGAACCTTTAAACTAGTGTTATTTACAATGTTTGTGATGTGTGGGATAGATATTTGGTCTTTGTGACCCAACTCTGAATACAGCAAATACTTCTGTGATAGTCTCAACCACTGACTAATGTGATATGGAAAAATAAACAAATATTATTCCTGATTTTATACACATCATGATAGATTTAAAAGTAAATACAATCTGATATAATTTAAATCTGTTTTCCCCATCTCACTTTTCCTATTTATGTATTTACGGAAACAGCTTTGAAGCTATTTGTTCACCAACAGGGATGGGGAAGAGAGAAAGGCGGTGATGAATCAAATACATGACTTTAAAACATTTTAAGTTAAGAAAGCAATTTTTAAATTCAACCTATCAGCATTAGCCTTCTTTTTTCCTCCTAGGTGTCACTTTTATGACTTTAAAATAGGAGCTATTCTGTGGAAAAATTGACACGAGTGGTTCAGGTTAGGAGGTAGGAAGTTTGGGGATGAAGGGTATGTGCCAATCAGATCCTGAAAGGACTCAGTGCTACCCGAGAAACTAAAAATTCACACAAAAAGACGGATAAAGCTGGGAAACTAAATATTCTTTCTGTTTCCAAGAAAAAAAGCACCATGGATTGGAATGCATAGACCTTGTGGTTAGACATTTAATATGCAAAGGAGACTTGTGGTGCTGAGGAAATTATTGGCTGTCTGTGTTCCTGCTTTTTGGCACTTACTGTTTTTCCTTAGTAACTATGTTGTTTCTAATTCCTTTTTAAGCATTTAAAGCTCTCCCATTACATGTCTTTATTATTTTTAAGACATAAGATTTGACTTTTGGAATTCAGTAATGGGTAGAGTGAGCAAGCTGGCTCTTAGGTCTTAACGCTAGACTTTGAGATGACATTAGACTGAGAATTTTATTGTGTCATAAGAATCACTAAGCTAATTGGAGAAATACTTTTCTTGTTTTCATGTAGTTCTGAGGGGCTCATAAGTCCTTAATAAAAAGTATTTTCCATGGTTCCATATAACTTCTCCTTAGGTGAAAAGTGCAATAATCCACAGAGCATTACCTTGAAGTTTTGCTTCATGATCCTATAAATTTGTTTCCTGATCTGGGAGCACTGGGTTCCCACCAGGGCTCTCTACCGAGAATCTACTGTGTCCCCCCGGGGACCTCTTCCCTCTACATGTGCTGACTGTGCTCCTCCTCTGCTGTTTCCAGGTGATGATGATGCATGGGCCAGGTACAGCCTCTCCTAACCAAAGGCTAAGATCTGCTCACTCCTGGAGCAAAAGCCTTAGAAGGGCCTTCTCAGGAGTCTGCCCTTATATACAAATGTAGGATCCTAAAAGTAGAAATTATGCACTACTGAGTGAGGGAAAAAATGGGTCTGTGGCGGGGTTAGAAGATAACTTTTTTTTTTTAATGGAATTTTGTAGAATTCTGAGAGTAAGAAACTGTGAGACAGCTACTTCTCCACCAACATATAGAGCCAGCTATGATTTTCTTTTTTTTTTGAGATGTTGGGGATTCAACTGCGTGCTAGGCAGGTGCTCTATCGTACAGCTATATCCCAGTCTATGATTTTGCTCATATTTTTTTTTCTGGTCCTTTTGGGGTCATCTGGTCTTTTAGGAAGTGGCAGACCGAGGAAGCCAGCTAACAGGGAAAAGACTGAGGATAAAGGTACAAAACTGGCATGTGTTTTGCTAGACCATTCTAGTGGTTCTTTACATTTTAGAAAAGGTAGCACAAGTAGAAAAAATCAAAATGAAAATAGCAGTTTGAAGAATTTGTGTGACAATTTTATGAAAGAAATGCAGATTTTAAAAAGCACCGTTAACAACGCCTATTTGCATTCTCCCAGGAGAGGAAAATGGACGGGGCCAACCCAGTTGCACTAATAACCCAGGTTGATGGGAAGTAAATGTCAAGGCCTGCCTCAGTGTGGGTGTTTTATGGCAGGCCAGCTCATGGAGGCTGCAGAACTGCTGATACCCAGGAGCCAGTCCTGAAGCCCCTGCTGCCTGCTGATGCTGCTTGAAATTTCTCACTTTTCAGTGAGGCTGAGGGTTGTGTAATCATAGCTATACAGGGTGAACTCAGGTCTTGCAGCTCATCTAAGAATTTTAAATAGCAGCAGCAGACTTTAGGTCTGAGTTATTTAGATAATTATGCCTCCCGTTGCTTACACAGGGTGTAGGTAAGCTTTGAAAAATCCAAAAGTATTTGGTACTGACATATTTGAAGAATACTGTGTTTTGGGCAACTGTCTTTTATGTATTTGAATACATTCTTTTTCTTTAGGATATGTTGGGATCCTAGTTGTTATGAAGCAGTCTTGTTCTTTTTTTTGGTACTGGGGTTTGAACTCATGACTTTGTGCTCATAAGGCAAACAGTCTTGTTCTTTACCTCTCTTCAGATTATGATTTACCTGATTGACAAGGTACTTCCTGAAAGCTATTTTGTCAATAACCTCCAAGCATTATCTGTGGATATGGCTGTCTTCAGAGATCTCTTGAGAATGAAGCTCCCTGAGTTATCTCAGCACCTTGATACTCTTCAAAGAACTGCAAACAAAGAAAGTGGAGGTACAGATGATTCATTGCTATTATATCTTTGAAAATATTTGGCTTCTCTGATTCAACTCCATAAGCTTAAACTTAAATGGAAATACACATTTCCAAGTATTTTTGTTGTAAGAATTTGGTGCAGTGAATAGAACTCTAGAGCATAAAAACAAAACTGAAAATATACAAGGTGACATGTTGAACCCCTAACTGGATACGGCGTAGGAAGTTGGTCAAAAGCCTAAAACTCCATTGGTACTAGATCAAAAACTGACAGGGTGTATTGTACCCTAGAAGAAGAACGGTTTACAGGTCTGACTATATAGTTGTCTAAGTTGTCACAGACAAGTTGTCACAGACAAGAAGTCTTTATAGTGAAGTTGCAGGTTGCATTTTATACTGCAGCTTTACCAGAACCACTGAGGTTATGGAAGAGTAGCTCTGGGAGTAACTGGGCTAAGTAAATAGACCTTCTGCATGCCTTTCTGTGGCTATGCTCTGAATTAAAAAACAAGTTTGCTAAATTTCTGGTACATGGTTTCCAGTTCCTGTTGTAGACCATGTGCTCATAGTCTTGTCTGACCCACACATTTAAATGTAGGAACATAGTAAAAGATTTTGAGGATCTAATCCTTGGCTAAAATACAGCAGAAATTTTAAGCAGGGGGATGTCTCTAACATTTCTATGAAGCCACTGAAATAATATCTTTTAATTTGGTGTGTAGTGTAATTGTATAGCTACATGGATTTCATAATGCTACCAGACAGACCAGACTAACCTGTCCTATAATCAGACACACTTTACTGAGTTACACATTTTCTCCCAAACGCCACGTATTTGGCTGTGGAGAATAACCTCGGCTTTTAGTCTCTGAGCTGGTGTTTTTGTTCAAAGGTAAGGAAGAAGAAAATGAGTTCAGCAAAACAGGTCTTTTTGCTTCCACTTGAGTAATTGTGCATACTGATTATAACTGAGAGGGCTGATCAGTCTAAAAAGCTAAATTTTTTATTTCATTAAAATGCTCACTTATTGGGGCTGGGGATTTAGCTCAGTGGCATAACAACCTGCCTTGCAAGCAGGCGATTGTGAGTTCCATCCCTGGTACCAATAAAAAAAAAAAATGCTCACTTATCACAGGAAGTGGGAAGCAGTGTTGTGCCTTTAATGAATTCAGAAATTTCAAAACGGATTGGGCCACAAATCTTTCTGTTTAAACTGTATAATTTAGTTCAAGATGTCTTATATTTAATGTTGTTTTATGTCTAAATATTTTTGGAATTTTCCAGCTAACTTTCTGTTAGTGATTTCTAGTTTAAAAGTCCATTGTGATATAATAATTATGTACACTTATTAAGAAATGGATAATTTATAGTGAACAGGGTTATTCTTATCAGCCACATTTGAATAAAAGTAGGCTTAAAAAGTTTAAAAAGCTAATGGCTTTTGCAAGGCTAAAAATATTGTCTTTTTATTCTGTTTTTGATGAGGAAAACTTTCTTCTTGGTTTTCAGTATCTAATAATAGGTAGAGCCAGAGTATGTTTTGGGTTAAGATTTCTGAGTTTTTATAAAGAAACTGTGACGCTCATGTTATTGAGATTTTATTAAAACTGCCTATGTTCTTCCAAAAATATGGAAGAAAAAAAGAGGGCAATTGGGAATTAGAATGAAGAAAACAATCAGTAAAATACAACATTTTTGGTGGGTGGGAGACTGAAAAAAGCAAGAATACTTGCATGTCCTAAGGCTGCTCAACTCGGAGGAACTTGGTGTGTTGTTTCGTTGCAGGTGGATACGAACCCCCACTCACGAACGTCTTCACGATGCAGTGGTTTCTGACTCTCTTTGCCACATGTCTCCCGAATCACACAGTATTAAAGATTTGGGACTCAGTCTTCTTTGAAGGTTCAGAAATCATCCTAAGGGTGTCTCTGGCCATCTGGGCAAAACTGGGAGAGTAAGTGATTTCCCACTTCTGTTGTGTTCTGTGGTCTCAAAAACCTTAAGCGATTTTTGTGCTCATTTAAGTGTAAAGCACTGATATTTAAGTGTGAAGAAAAGAGAAAGTCGTGAACTTTACTGAACTGCTTTAACCTCCAGTCTCAGCTGGCTCTTTGTTCTGGGACAGAGGGAATCGGGGAAGGGAGAGACTTCTTCAGGCCTGAGGATCTCCCTTTCCTCGTAGCTCACTGTGTCCTTGTTGGTATCTCTCTGGACACTCATGGAAGAAAGAAGGGTACCCAGGTGGAGGAGAAACTGGAAGTTATGGGGAGCAGGTGGATTTGTTGATTCATAATGCAATTTGTATTTTTGATGGATCGTTAGTATTTATCTTGTTCTGCCTTTGAGCTGTGATAGAACTGAGATAATCTGTATGAAGTGGTTGGTACATAGTTAGGAGTAGACCGTATGGGCGCCTTTCTTTTCATCAAGAATGACTTGTATGTTGAAACCTGGTTCTGCCAAAACATAGATTTTACTTATATTCTTTACTAGTGGCAGGGCTGAAAAAGAGGGCATTTCCACTCCTTCCTCGTGTATTATACTTTTCTTTGTGTGGCAGGGCTGAAAAAGAGGGCATTTCCACTCCTTCCTCGTGTATTATACTTTTCTTTGTGTATTTTGGGTAATGGAAGATACACTGGAATGAATCAGTAACTTGAAAAGCAGACAGTTTTCAGTATTTCTTTCCTAGTGACCCATGTACAACATGTCAGAAACTAATGAGCACTGACGGTGTTTCAGAAACTTTCTAACTCGTCTTTTTATTGATGATTACTCCTTTACTGGAAGACCTGGATTTTTTTTTTTTTAACAAAGAAAGATCCACCAAATACAAATTTGGGATTTTAAAAATCACTATTGTGTATAATTCTTTTTTTCCCTCTTTGGTCTTTTTGAGACAGGCTCTTACCATGCAGTTCAGGCTGGCCTTGGGCTCACTTTGTAGCTCAGGCTGGTCTTGAACTTGCAACGATCCTCCTTCCTCAGCCTCCCAAGTGCTGGGATTATAGGAGTATGTGATCACTCCCGGCCATGTGTATAATTCTTAAACATCATAAATCTGTATCCTTTACCATATTTTATATTGTGTTTGGGTAGGCCAATATATTCATCTGTATGGGACTATTTATTTCTTCTTTCATTTTTCCCATATCTACATCCTTCTGTAATTATACATTTTAAAACTGTTCTGCACATTGCAAACTTCTTGAGCTTTGATATTTCCTGTGGTTTTTGGGTAACTAGTTTATGACATTAAAATAGTAAAACACTCTATTGAGTGGTAGGTCCGTGATGGTCCCCTGTATGTTAGTTGATGAGGAGGAGGAAAGAGATGAGGCTGGTCTTATTAATACCTGTTGGTTATCTGTAGGATCAGAATCTACTTTCATGGCAATCCCAAAGATGTCAGAGTGTTAAAGTAAAAGTACGGGGGCTGTCAGTAAGACCCAGTAATCACTGAGTTCTTGCAGTGGAGAGGTACAGCCCGTAGCATTTCCTGTATGTTATTAACTCATTTATTTTTCACTGTCACCATTCAGTGAGGTACACACTGTTATAACCTCCATTTTTTAGACATAAGGACTGAGGCTCAGAGAAGTGCAGTGAATTGCCTGAAGTCTCTGTGTTAGTAGGTAGAATCGATTGGTTTTGAACTGAGACATTCTGCCTCTAGAATCTGTGCATTTAACTGTGCAAGTTTATTGATAATATGCAGCTACTCTTAAGTTGAGGATTTCGAATGTTTCATATCATTAAATTTTTAATTTTTATTACTATATGTGTGTAGCACATAATGATTGCATTCATCATAGGGGTGTGATACATGTATATAACACAGTTTAATTCTTTTTATGTCCCTGTCTCCTCCCTTCTCTCCTACTCTTGGTCTCCTTCACATTTGCAAAACATCTATCTCCCTGTTTCCTATTATCTTTTATTTTGCTCTTTATATTGCACTTTTGATTTCTTATATAAGAGAAATCATGTGATATTTAAACTTCTGTATCTGATTTATTTCCTCAATATTATGGTCTGGGTGCATTTATTTTCCCACAAATGACTTAGATTTATCCTTTTTTGTATCAGAGTACTATTCCATTGTGTATAAATGCCATATTTTCTTATTCATCCCCTGATGGACACATAGGCCTCTTCCAGGACTTACCTATTACGAGTTGTGCTGCTATTTTTGTGCTAGTGTGTTTGCATTTATTACCATAGCTTCATAATATAACTTGAAAGTTGGAATTGTGATGCCTCCTGCTTTGCTCTTGTTGCCCAGGATTGCTTTGGCTGTTCTGGATCTCTTCTGGGGCGATCTACATTTTAGGTGTTTTTCTGGTTCTAGGGTAATGCTACTGGCATTTTGATTGGGATTGCCTGAAAGCTTGTGTATCAGTTTGGAAGTAGACCATTTGACAATGTTGTTTCTGCCTTCCCAGGAACAGGGGGCATCTTTTCATTTTCTAGTATCCTCTTCATCTCCTTTTTCACAGCGCTATGGTTCTTTTTTTTTTTTTTTTTTTTGTCTTTTTCCTTTTTATCGGTACCGGGGATCGAACTCACGACTGCCTGCTTGCAAGGCAGGCATTTATGCTGCTGAGCTAAATCTCCAGCTCCAGCACTATGGTTCTTGTTATAGAGGTCTTTCACTTTGGTAGGTTAATTCCTAAGAATTTAATTTTTCTTGATGCTATTATGAATGGTACTGGTTTCTTAATTTTGTTCATTATTAATGGGTAAGAATGCTACTGATTTTTTTGTGTTGATTTTGCATCCTGTTGTCTTACTGAATTTGTTTATTAGTTGTAGGTGTCTTTTGGTGAAAACTTTTGTCTTTTATGTAAAGGATCATGTCATTCATGAATAAGAAAAGTTTGACTTCTTCCCATAGTGTTTATATACCTTTCATATATGTATTCCTTTTGTTTCTTTTTCTTGATTGGTTGCTGTGGCTACAGCTTCACTTGCCAGTATGTTACATTGTTTCCACATACTTAGAAGGTTTTTTGCTATTTATGCAAATACGTTTTTTGTTTCTTTTACTGCCATTTGTGCTATCTTCTGTTTTTTTTTTTCATTCTAGTTAATCTTAGATTGGTTTTCTTTGTATCATGTAGCGACTTTTTGATCCATTTCCATATTTTCTCTTGTTGTTCTTAAGATATCTCTGGTGTGAGGAAAAGAAAGTGGCCTAAAGGACATAACAGCATGTATATTTAAGGGTGTAGGATAGAAAACCATATTCCTGAGTTTCTGTTGGATCATTGAACAGAACTGTCTGCAGTCTCACTATATGAATGTCCACTTTGAATGCTTTAATTTTGTAATTTGGACAACTGTTTCTAGGATGACAATGTACACTTTTACTGCTGTTTTTTTTTTCTCTTAAAAAAAAAGAGATATCTCTGGTGTATGGTCACCAACATCAGTCCTACTGTCTAGTTCTGATACTGCTCTTGTGTTGGTTACTTCTGCTGCACATATTTTAAAATATTTTTTATCTCTTGCCATTCTAATTTGGTACCTTTTTATGGACTCTAATTCTTTGCTAAATTGGTAATTGATATTTCGTTTAATTTTATTTAGCTCAGCTATCTTTTTATTAGTGTCTTCTTCTATAAGCTAACTCATCACTTTGTTATTAAATTCAATATCTGTTAATTGTATCATCTTGGAGCTTGTTGAGTAACTTATTGATTTGTTTTTGGTCTCCTCTTTTATCATTTCATGTAATTCAGCTGCTTGGATTTTGATTTCCTCCCTATCACTGTCCCATGAATTAACTTTGGAGGAGTTGTGAGTTTTGGGAGGCATTTTGTTGTTTTCTGTTGATTGAGGTCAGTAATATTGGACAAAGATATTTCCCAGTGTGAAGTTCTTTTTGGTTGGTGTCTGCTTTCCAGTGATGCACTGCAGGTGTGACTAGCATAGGCCTTGGCTTCTGTTCCAAGATCTGACCACCACTATCAATTTCGGGAGGGAAGGGGAAGTTGCAGTGTAACTGGCTCAGCATCCAACTCTTTGGAAATGAATTGCAGCATTGTTAATGGCACAAAGACAAACAAGATATTGGTATACAGTAAAAATCAGTTAAGGAACAACTATGCCACCCTGGCAAGAGCAGGATCAAAGACAAACTGGATATTGACAAGAGCCAATAGAAGCTACCATTGTACATCCCTTAGCTTCAGAGGAGATCTGTAATTATAACATACACACAAAATACACCAAATATTGACATATAGGAAGTAACTACTCAATGCACCAACTATACCACCATTAACATATAAGAGGATTCAATAATAGAGACAATTAAATATTTAAAGATTAATAAAACTTAGTAATACTGTTAAAGATCAAAGAAATGGAAAGGGAAAATGAAAGAAAGTTTGAAAAATAAAAGGAATATTAGAAGGAGTAAAGTAAGATAAAGGATTGTATTAAATAAAATAAAACTGACAGAATTAGATAAAGGTAACAAAAAAGAACAAACAAGAAAAATAGCCAAATAAAGAGAACAATAAAACTTTAAATGCTTAAAATCCAGTGAAGATAGAGAGAGGAGTGCAAAAATAATTTCTCTGTGATTTTCAATGAGTGGCTTCTTTCCAAGGTCTCGGGGAGGGACTGTGAAGCTCTGCTAAGACACACTTTGCGTCAGTGCTGAATCCTGCCCTGCCTTTCCTGGCTGTGGTTGGTCAGTGATGTCCACCGTGTGGTTAGAATTCACTGTAGCTACTCCCTGTTCCCCGGTGTGTCCCGTCACAGCTTTCTCTGCCTATCTGTGGCCTGTGTGTTTGTGAAGTGCCCCGCCCTTGTTCATACACCCTGACCATGGCAACCATCCCTACCGAGGTGTGTCCTTGTTTACACTGGCCGATGGAGCAAGCAGACAGATCCCTGAATGCGTGCTGGGTGTAGGCAGTGTGGCGGGGGCAGGGAATCTGGACTTACTGCCAGCGCTTGCAGACCCAGCCTCCTCTTAAAACCACAGGAGTGTCCTGGCTTTTCACCACACAGACCAGGATCCTCATGGCCTTTCCAGCCTGAGCTTAAACTTCTCAGGGACTCTATGTCTAGCTTGCACCCTCTTCATGACTGTCTTTTGTGGCCATCTTCCACCAAATCTTGGTGATAGGGTGAGACTAGAAATGTTGAAGTGTAGATTTTTCTGTTTTTCTCTCAATCTGAAACAGATAACCCTGTCCCCAAATGGATCTTGATTAAACACTCTCAAACATGGTGGGTGCTACACTGGATTTCCTCTCCAATGTAGCCTTCCACACAGAAGTAGTCACTTTGAGAGCAAAACCCCACACTGTTGTTGCAGTGTGTAATAACCATGGGCTTGTCTCGGGGCTAGTGCTGCTGGCCCATTGTTTCTCTCTGGAGCTGCTGCCCTTCTGCCTTGTGTTACTGAAGGCAGGTCCTCTTCCCTGGGATCTGGGGTTAGCCTTTCTCACTGCTTTGTTCTTTTCTCTGCTTCCTACTCAGTTTCTCCAGCTTCTCCGTAGCTTCCGGTTTTTCTGTCGTCTCCTTCCTGATTCCTAGAGTTTCACTTCTTGTTTTCTTCACCAAGTTGTTATAGTCCCCACAAAAATTCTATTAGAAAACCATAAGCATCATGTAGATAATCTCTAATTGTTGTATGCCTGAATAATATAAGCACCTTACATGTGCTTATACCTGGGATCTCTTCATTCACCTTACATCTGCAGCTCGGAATTTCTTCCTTTCGCTGGACTGTGAGTTGTAGACCGTGAGTTCTTCACTAACATATTTTACATGTCCTTTTCCCTTACGTGTTCTACTCTTTGGGCATATGGCTTTGTTGCTTCATACCTGCGCTATCGTGGTGTGTGCTCTCCGGTCTCCTGATTGTTCCCCACTCTTGCCATGTGTATTTATCTGCTTTCCTATTGCTGGACACTCACTTAAAAAGGAACGGTTTGATTTGGCTGATATTTTAAGTAGATTCGTGTGGTGGCTGGCAGATTCCAAGACAGAAACTGCGTGGTGGAAGGCTTTGGAGGAGTAAAGCTGCTCAGTTCATGGCAGCTGGGAAGCACAGCATGGAAGCAATGTCAGAGAGGAAGAATGAGGAACAGACATGGACCCCAAGGCTGTGTAGTGGTCCACCCAGACCTCTGGAGAGATGTGTTCCACCAGTCTCCTGGGCGGATGCCAATGCCAGTCACTCTTCACCCCAAATGCCAGTCTGTCACCTTCCCAGTGATCTTGCCAAGAGCACAGCCTTTCCAGCCCTGGTTCTGCCATGGCTCTGCTAGTAGATGAGGCCGTTGTGATCTGCTCTCTGCAGCTCTCTAACCTCAGCTCTCATTGGCTCCCTCTGGCTGGGCAGTGATTCCTCACAGGCCTTGTGGAGCTACTTGCTGGCCCAGTACAAGTCAGCTGTTGTCTGCATCTGTGTCTTTTCCTTCCTTGCATCCTGAAGAGCAATTTTCAAAACTTGTCTCAAGTATTTTTTCTCTTCTTCACCCCTTGGTGTAAATGTAACCACTTTTAATTTACTTCTGCATGCTGTACTGTATTTTTTTTTATTAATACTTCAGTTCTTTATTTCTTGTATTTGTTTACATGATTGTGGCACTGGAGTTTGAGAAACATTTTGGAGCCAGAGGTTTTTCCATCACCATGTTATTTTTGGATGACTGAAAAATCACCCAGCTAATGTGAATGTCAAAGCATATATTTTATGGTTGGTTGGTAAACAGAAATGTCCTATGCAAACAATATTGTGATAGAGGAAGCAGAAATACTTAGTGCTCTTTTATTTGGAGTCTTTCTTTTTTTTTTTTTTTTTAACCTCCTTTAAAGGAGAGGTTAAAGTCAAACCTGTCTAACAGTGTTACCGGATGATAGATTTTTCCTGGAGAAGAACTCAGAAAGTTCTGCCTGTGAAAACATTCTGTGAATTGATGATATATGCAAATAAGGTTCTTGTATTTTTCACCTTTTAATTCAACTGTGGTCTGATTTCAGTCTTCTAATGATATCACTTTGGATTAAGACCAGCAGGTTCACTGTGGGGGATAATTGTTCTTTGGTAGCCAATTCTTTGCATGTGATTACTGTTCAGTGGTTGGTATTCTGATGTATTTAATGTGTGCGTGGAAAGAATAAAGATACCACAGTGGAACTATGAGGCTGGGAGAGCTACGTGGGGAAAATGGGAAATCATTCTGTAACAAGTATCTCCAAGTTACTTTGTTCATTTTGAGATAAGATCGCAGTGTTCCCTAGGCTGCTTGAACTCTGGGGGTTCAATCAACCCTTTCTCTGCTCAGCCTCCTGAATAGGACTATAGATGTGCACCATTGCTCCTAGCTTGCTTTTAGTATTTTGATCTTTTCTCCAGATATAGCATGCTATATGTGAATGTGACCAGGAGTTTGATTTTTATTGATTGCCACCTTGATTGATTTGATGGCAGGAAACAGCACAACTCATACTTACAGCATGTACGTGTTATACAACATGAGCGCCCTAAACAAATCCTTTCTCTGTCCTTTCTTCATCTAGGCAGATAGAATGCTGTGAAACCGCAGATGAATTCTATAGCACTATGGGGCACCTTACCCAGGAGATGCTGGAGAATGACCTTCTACAAAGCCATGAACTCATGCAGGTGAGTGGGCAGCGTGTCTAAACTAGATGTGGCAGGTCTGGGTACTTACCTTCTTTTTTCCAGGGTCTCATTTTGTAGTTCAGGCTGGCACTGGCCCTAAACTCTCCAGGTAGCCTAGCCTGGCCTTGAACTCTTGGAAATTCTCCTGCATCAGCCTTCCGAGTTCTGGGATTACATGTGTGTGCCATCATGCCCAGGTGGGGACTCTCTATCAAATTATGTTGCTTAAAAATCATGAAGCCTAAGATAAAAATAAACTAAAAATAAAGGATAAAATCACTTGATGCTTATTCTCAATCTGATTGTTAATTTCCTTAAAGAGAGAGTTATGGGATAAAACAATTATTTTTGGGAAGAAATTATTGAGGATAAAAGAGGAGATTATTTTAATCAGCCTTTTGATTTATTTTCAACTCAGGTTACTAAAAATCACAAATTTCAGTTGGAAGACTTGAAGAGTTTTGTTATTTTGTGGGATTTTACTATATCTCAAGATCATATTCAACAAGTCACTGAAATTGACAGTGACCATTAAAAAAAGATGGCAGACTTATGAATACTCTGTTTTCCATTGATTCGTTTGTTTGTTTGAGGCAGGGTCTTGCTATGTAATGCAGGCTGACCTTGAACTTGCTTATGTAGCTCAGGCTGGCCTTGACCTCCTAGCAATCCTCCTGTCTCAGCCTCCGGAGTGCTGGGATTACAAGCATGGGCGGCCATGCCCACCCTTCCTTTAGGTTCTGAGACATAATTTTGCCCTTATTCTCCTTTAACACCTTTGACCACTTCTTTTTCTGGGATATCTCTTTCCTTTTTCTTCACCTTTATGCTGGGTTTCATGCCTGAGGTCATTTTTGAGTGCTACGGTCCAGTCAAAACAAACTCGAAAACTAGGGTTCAGGTACTGATTTGGGGCTTGAGAAGCGGGGAGGATCTTCATTCTTTCACTTACTTTCTGGTATTCCTGGCTGCTCTTCAGAATCTGTTGTCTCAAGAAAAACCACCTGGCATAACTTTCCAGAGCTTTCTCGTTGTTTCCATGTTCCTTTGTGTTGTCATCTCTTCTTCCTTCTAGTCTGTCTCAAGGGAGGAAGTTTTCTGACTCTGCATTTATGTTCTAGTCTTCCTGCAGTTCCTGGGTCGTCATTGTTTCCATGCATACTCTCCTGGAGAGAAGTGCCTTACACTAAGCAAAATTCCATGCCCTACATATTTGCCTGGCATTTTCCGCATATCTTGCTGAACTGCCAGAATTATATGCCCAAAGTAGGACTCTGAGAGAGCAACCGTGTCCCTCCTAGATGAAAGTCCCGTGGCTCCTCCCTATGTACAAAGCAGCATGGATTTCTCAGCTAACCACATAGTGCTTCTGACTGCATTTTGATCTCCATTTCCAACCGTAGCTCCTGTTCCTCCTCCCATACCCTTGTCCCAGTCTTATCAAGCTAAACTGTCTTCCGTGCTTGAAGAAACACCTAGAAACACATCTCCTTTATACTCTGCGCTCTCAGCAAGCTTCTACCTTTAAATACCTTCCTTGGGAAAATTTCAGTTCAGATACTATCTCCTTCATCAGACTTCTCTCATGATCTTAACTAAAATCATCTTCCATTTCACTGAATATTTTATTTGTCATATCTTGAGCACTGTCGTCATATTCTATCTCAATTCAGTACTTCATTTTATTCTCTCAGTGAAAGTGCAATTTCCTCGAGGGCAGAGGTTGCCCTTCGGACTTTGTCTTTATGAGACTAGCTCGTTAAGTTTATTCAGCAAGCAAACTTCCATTGAGAGTCTCTGGTTAGTTTTCTGCCTGTTCTTTTTCAGTCGGTGTTTGCTGATTTACATGAAGCTTTCAGGTGGCAGCCCTCCCTCCTTGTCCCTTCCCTAATACTGTCAGTATCCCGATGGGGCAGCCATTGTGCACACTGTTGCTTTGGTCCTTTCATTGTGCCATGTAAGGAAGCCTTCTGTTAGTACTAGAAATAAAATGTCTCAGCTTTGTTTTCTAGGATCTATATTAACTTCTCCAAATATTTATTGAGCGTCTGCAAATGTCAGGTGCTGAACCAGATTCTGGGGATACACATGGGAAGAAGATATGAGTCCTTCCCCCAGCGGGCTCACAGTTCCCCATAACACAGAGTGGGATGTACAGAGGAAGGGAAGTGCTGGGGGCCGAGGTGGAAAGAGGACCTAATGCCTAAGAGGCAGGGAGAGAGGGGCAGGATGGAGAGAAGTATGGAAAGTTTCCATGGAGGGAGTTAATGTCTGTTTCTATCTTTAAAACTGAATAGGAGTTGCCGGGGCTCCATGTGTGTGCATGCACATGCATGTGGATATTTGCTGGAGGCACTGGTGCAGAGCACACAGGGACAGTGGCTGGTGGTGAAGGGACGGCTGGAGTGCAGGCATAGTGACGGGATGCTGTAAAGTGTGTGAGTGACACCCTAAGGAGTCTGGCTCTCAGGGCTTGGGTTAGGGAAGATTGAAGCCCACTGGAGGCAGGTTGGATTTGATCTTAGGGCTGTGGTTATGAAACTGTGTTCTAGGGCTTCTGTGGACCCTTCGAAAGAAAAAAAGAGGAGCTTGTGGATCTGAAATATTTTTAAGATGAAAATGTTGTAGGTGGTGTTTTGTTTTGTTTGCAATAGGGTCTCACTGTACAGCTCAAGCTGGCCGCAAACTTGGAATCCTGCCTCAGTCTCCCACATGCTGGGATTACAGATGTGTGCTACCAGACTCGGCTTGAGTGGTATTTTATATCCGCTGTGCGGGGCAGCTCTGTGGAGCATGGGCCTGAAAAGGTCCAGCCCGACAGCAGGAAGGCCTGTGAGGAGGCTGTGAGGGGTAAACAACAGGACAGAGACAATATTTAGAAAATGAAATTGACTGGATGTGGTCATGGAAACCGGATACACCGGTGTGGGAGAAGGAATGGGGGCTGAGGAAAACCTGAAAACGTCTGGCTTGGGAGTAAGAGGAGGTTTACTGTGGGGAGCAGGTGAGCTTGTTTTCAGGATGCACTGGAGGTGTTCTCTGGCTGTCCTGTTCCTTAACCCAAAGGTGTCCCTTGCTGCTTCGTAACTGGAATTTAGCCTGCTGGCCATAGCTCTTTTCCTGCCCAGGGCTGTTAGCCCTGGTGCTCTCCAGTGGTGTATCAGTGAGAACCCCAGGTGCCCACCCGGTCCCTGCTCACCCCTACATCCTCCGTTGTCTCCGCCCTCACTGACAATGCCTCTGCCTGACTAAAGATTTTCAACAGCTGGCTTAATGCTAACTGCAGATGATTTGGTGATGTTGTTTTGTAATTTCAAAGTATGTTAATTTTTTCTCTCTGAGAAGACCCAAGTTTCTTGATGAAAGGGGCTTCATATTACTTTTTCTATAACACCCAACAGAGTGCTAAAAATATAACTGCTTGCTCAGTAAATATGCAGAATCTTAAAACATTTGATTTTCAGGCATTGGTGTTCAAGCTGTGTATAATATTTCTGGAGTATACAGAAATGTAGATATTTGGGCCATGGGTATGTCTGATACAGGTGCTTTTACATCAGTTAGAGAAACTGGCTTTAAAAAAGCTTAAATGTCAACTCATCTAGTTCTATCACTTTACAGACAGGAAACTCAGACTTGGAAGTGAGCATCCTTCCAGTTTCTTAGTTATCTAGTAGCTGACCCAGGACTGAGACCTATGTCCAGGACTCCTGGGGTAATGCTTTTCCCCACTGAGCAATGTACTTTTCCACCTTACTCAATGATGTCTTTCTAAAAGAAGGAATCCTCCTTAGAAGAATAAGGAACATCTCAGTTCACTTAGAATTTAAACAATGCAAAAAGAATTAATGAGATGTTGGTTACTATCTTTGTTCTCCAGGAGTTTCTAATTAGATATCAGGAAGAAGAACGACTTCTTTACCCTGCTTTAAGAGAATTCTAGAGAGAGAATTATGGGCTGTGGGATAATTAGTTAGATGCCATTTTAGTAGCATTTCTAAAGTGTGTCAAGGAAAACATCTGGATGAAGATGAACTAAGCCTAATTTTCTTACAATGTATATTTTTGTTTCTTGTAAAACGTGCCAGTAATGAAAAAAAAAATATAAATCCTTTTCAACAGCGCCTAAATATAAATGTCTATTTAAATGTATGTTGGAATTGCAGATAGTAAATAGACTTGTCATTTTCTTTGGCATCTAGAATACTAGAAATTGTGAATGCCATTTTAAACCACTGTTTTCCAAATTCATTCTTAAAAAAAAAAAAAAAAAACAATTCAGTGACTGTATTCTGGCTATGGTGGACCATAAATCTGTCAACAAACTTGAAATGACTCCAGATGAAAAATGTGGGCTGAATGTAAAGTCTGTACTTTCAAGCTGATGAGATGAAAGGGCTCTCCTCTTCAGTTTTTCCTGATTCTCTGTCTTCTGAGTGACATACACAAGTTAATAATATACGGTGCTGCTCGCTATGAATCACATAACTCTTCTAATTAATAGAGGCCAATTTTTGCTTTTAAAAACCAGCAGTGTTAAGTAGGAAATTGGAACACTGATGAGGTAGTGTATCTGGACTTCAGCAGGATCTTTGACATCTTTGATAAATTCCTTGAGGGCAATATTGAGAAAAATTTGTAAGTTTCTATGAGAAGGATCACATGTGCCTTAAAAGCACAGTTTACTGTTTTCTGGAAGCAGCTGTTATGTGCCATGGGACAGGAGCTGCCCTTGGACCCAATTCTTCAGTTTTCCATCAGTGATGAGTTGGAAATTTCAAGGAGGTGGATGCTTGTCCAATGCAAGGACAATGTTTGATTAATTAGTTCAGTCAAAAATTGAATCCATCTGCCCTGCAGAATAGTGTGTGCCCATAGCTGTAAGTGTTTAGGCAGCGCCTTTGAGGCCATCTGTTAGAGATGTGCTTGAAAAGGCTCTTGCGTGGGAGAGAGGTTGAGCTAAATTATGTTTAAATTCCTTTGGAACCCTAAGATTCTATTACTGTACCATTTTGGCGCTAAGAGCTTAGTAAAATTTCTTTCTTGGAATCTGTTATAAATCTCCAGTTTGTAAGTTGGAAGCCTAGAGGTTTTTATGTACCCAGAGTGCTGTCATGGTGAACTAGGGATACTTAAATTACATAGAACAAATGTGCTTCAGACATGTGAGATCTTTGAATAAGTGAATGAATATAAGCAAAGAAGAACGATAAACAAGTTTGTTTCAGAAATACTGATTGCTTCTTTGAAGGACTAGCCACAAGTAAACAACAGAGGAAAGAAGACCTGAAGTAGAAAAGGGAGCTAGCCCCCACCTCCCCTGCCGTCTCCTCCCTTCCTCTCTCTCTCTCTCTTTCTCTCTCTCTCTCTCTCTCTCTCTCTCTCTCTTTCTCTCTCTCTCTCTCTCTTCCTCCCTCCCTCCCTCCCTCCCTCACCATCTCTTGCTCTCTCTTGCTTTTTTGTTTTCTCTTTCTGTCTCATCGGGGTCTTAAGTTGAGTGTGCTTAGAGCCCAGGCTGTCTGCTCTAGGAAAGAATGGAGTAAAAAGGGACGAGGGTGCTTCTCATTCTTCCATTGCAAAGCTGGGACAAAGAAATTATCTGAATGCCTTGTTTCAAAACCAGCAAATCTAAAACACAGGTGCATCTTCTGCTGGACACTCCATGTTTTTGTCTTTAGTGAGACATCTTACTTATAAGGAATTTTTAAATTGCTAGCATTAGTAGTCTCATTGTTTTGTTTTCTCATTTTTAAAAGTTGATCCAAATCATATGGTTTTCTTAAATGTCTGAACCAAGTTATTCAACTGTTAAGAAAAAAGAAATCACATGAGTGAGGGAATGGGTTGACTCTTGGTCCAGCTGTGGAATCACATTCCATGTATGATGGTCAATCCATTCGAGCCCATGCTGCCGATTCAGGAGAGGAACTGAGGTTTGTTTCTAAAGTTTTTTCCTTCCCCTCCAAAGGGTGTGGTACGGCTAAGACTGGTCATAGGAAGGAGAGAAGAAATCTGCAGTGATAGCAAGGCAGCCACTGGATAGCTTTGCAGACTCAGAGCATGAGAGTTCACTCTGACAACATTATTAATAAAGTTATATGAAGTGTTTCAGGCATACAGAATTTATTGAGTAGCATACCAAGGCTGACGGATATAGCTCAGTGGCACAGCGCCTGCCTCAAGGCGTGAAGTCTTGAGTTTGACTCCCAGTACAAATAAACAAACAAGTAAATAAATAAAATTCTTAAAGAACGGCATAACAAAACCTCTATAACCACCATGAAGCTAAAGAAATAAAATATTAACACTATGAGTGAACACACTCATACTCTTCTTTCTGATCTTACGAGCTTCTCTCCTCTCAGAAGTGGCTATGACCCTGGACTTTCACACCTTTCGTTTTTCGGGTGGGGAAAAGGAAGTCAGGAGGAGTGGAAATCGATGTAATTTCACCCTTCAGGCTATTGAGAGTCACAGGATGTTTCTTTTTGTGAGTTGGAGGCACACTTTAGTGTTAGTAAATTTATACTGGTTCTCAGCATTTGGGGTTTACTCAAGTATGTAGCATATGTGATAAGACAGCTCAGAGGTGACGATCTGTGGTCCCTGTGAACTGTAGCTTTGTTTCCATAAGCATGAGGAATTGAAGGAAAGGAATTGGCAAGTATTAGCCAATACTTGCTTGGAATTTTGTGGTGGTATGGTAAAGTGGTAAGTGGTATGGTAAGTGAGAAAGCTGGGCATGATGGCACACTCTTGGCAACTTTGAGACCAGCCTGGGCTACAAAGTGAGCTCAAGGCCAGCCTGAACTTCATAGCAAGACCCTGTCTCAAAAAGACCCTCCTCCCCAAAAAGAAACTATTACGAAGTTGGGGACAGTCAGATAAATGTTCAGGATGTTATAGAATCAGAGTTGGGCTGGATTGTCACAGTGGTGATGTTGACCTGCAAAGTGACTGAAGAGTCCCTGCAGAGCCCTCCTGGTCCTATCCCTGCACATATTAGATGTCTTAAGCCTTCAGAGACACAGTTCTGCTAAGAGAAAAAAATACCATTTAAAAGTATTTTCCCAAAAAACTGTTAGGATAATTAATTGGCTTCACAGACAAAATGAGAGTATGATTAGTATGCATTTCTAGTCAGCAAGAAACTGAAGGATTGTAGGAATTTGTTTGGGGCTATTAAATTTTTATAAACACAAAAGAGCAAGCAGGATTATTCTCTTCTAACTGATGAATTCATACATGGTTTTGAAGTGTTAGTGTTAAGTGCAGATGCTTTCCCTGTTTTAATTATGTCTTTTGACAGCCTGTGCTTTACACCTTGTCACTTTTTTCTTTTCCTTTAAAAATAACAGCAAACGATTTTCACTTAGAATTCATTTACAGACATGTAGAAAGGCGATATCTTTGGAGAAAACTTAACAGTTGATCACAAGATCATCCATGAGAGAGTGTTATTCAGAAAGCTGACACAAATGTCTGTAAAAATCAGTGAGACACTGAAAAACAAGGACTATATTTGAGGGACACTTGTGGACTGTTCGTTAGACTGGTGACAGGCATTGTGGATTTCTGAGTTCCCCCATCTTTCAAATGACTGGGACAAGCCAGACTGTTTCATTAGCCCAGTCATGTTAAACTGGGCATTGATTGAGGATTCCCTGTTATGTTTGTACAGATTTGGTATCTTTTATCTGAAGACCTTGGACCAGAAGTCATTCAGAGCTAGGATTTTAGGATGTTTACCTATATGCAATGAGAAATCTTGAAAATAGGACCCAGATCTAAAATGAAATTCACTTATGTTTCATGCACACCTTATGGAAAAATAGCCTGATGGTAACTTTAAAGAGTATCTCTAATACACTTGATTTTTGAGTGTGATCTCTTCCATGAGGTCAGGTGTGCAGTTTTCTATTTTTGGCATCATATGAGTGTTCAAAAATTTTGGATTTTGAAGCATCCTGGATTTTGCTTTAGGGATGCTCAATCTTCAATGTTATTTTTGTCTTTAAAGTGTATGGAATTTTTCTCAATTGCTGTGTATCTGTCTCTTCGCCTCAACGTTATGCACTTTAATTATCTTTTGAGGTGGATAAGAGTGGTTTAGGGCTCCTTTTTCAGACTTGATGTTACTTTTGTTTTTCAGACTGTGTATTCAATGGCTCCATTCCCTTTTCCACAACTGGCAGAGTTGAGGGAAAAGTACACCTACAACATCACACCATTTCCAGCTGCTGTGAAAGCCACCTCGGTTTCTGGGTAAGATTTTCTTTTTCCTTGTTGTTTTCATGAGGGAAGAGTTAATGTCTTGATTATTATTGTAAGTTAGTACGTATTAAGCCCTAGAAATATGTGCAAAGTAATTTGGTACCTAAGAGCTGAATAACTTTTCCAAATGTCTTGATTTAAACTTAAGGGAGATTTTAAAAAACAAAACAAAATCCTAAAACGTCCCTAAAACAAAAACCAAAATTCTTTCCAAAGAAGTTTGGAACATAAATTGAAGGAATGTTTAGCAAACCCACAAACTATTTAAAATCTCAATAATTAAAATTATGTGGAATTGGTGTTGAAAAGTACAGATGAACTAATTTAAATTACTGTAAAGATCAGAAATTGACAAATATATACAATTTAAGAAATGAAAAATTAGTATATTAAATCAGTGGTGAAAAAATGTATAATTTAGGAACTAGCACTGGGCCAATGAGAATTAATTATAAAGAATAATTCTTCACATTCTATATTCATATATGGGTAAAAGTATTAAATGGAAAATATGAAACAATGAATAGAAAAAAAATGTGGAAAACTTCCTCTAGTTCTTTGAAATCGAGTGGCCTTTGGATCAAAGATGTAGCTCAGAGGCATGGTGCCTTCCTGAGAAGCTCAAGGTCCTGAATTCAATTCCTGGTGAAAAAAAAATTGAGTAACCTTACTAATTATTCAAAATAAAAATAAAGGAAAAATAGTAAATTCAAGTACTTAACAATAATTTTCTACCTAAACAAAGCCAAAACAGAGCGAAACAGAACCTCTATAAACAGACTAAAAAATATTTGTGGAAAAGTATTTTTAACTTATACACAAAATAGAAACCAATATCTTTAATGTACAAAATTCCTAGAAAACAATGAGGAAATAGTCACCCAATGGAAAAGTGATGCAAGAATAGGACTGAGCAGCATAAAAAAATGCAACATCATCAGTACTGAAAAGTAGCCTAAAACTAGATTCTGTTTTACTATCTGTATATTGGCAAAAATTCAAAAGCTTGGGCTGGGGATTTAGCTCAGTGGCATAAGTGCCTGCTTGGCAAGCACAAGGTTATGAGTTCAATCCTTGGCACCATCAAATAAAAAAGTCTATAGGAAATACCTACTCTTATACATTAAGGTTAATTGCTAAAGGATTTGACAGGCAATCTGAATAGTATGTACCAAAATTACTAATGCAGATATCATTTGTCTCAGCAATTCTATCCTTTTTTTTTTTGTCTTTTTCATTTTTATCGGTACCGGGGATTGAACTCATGACTGCCTGCTTGCAAGGCAGGCGCTTATGCCACTGGGTTAAATCTCCAGCCCCAGCAATTCTATCTTTATGATGTATCCCACAGATTTATTTTTACACATAAAAAACACAGTATACATAAGGTTATCTATTGTTGTGTTATCTACAATAATGTTGGAAACTAAGTAAGTACCATTAATAGCCTGGTTCCATATATAAGTTATGTAAGTAAAATACAACCATAGAAAAGGGTAAGAAACCTCTATGAATACGGAAAGGTTAAAAGCAAAATGTAAGAGTTTGCATAATATGTTAATACTTATGCAAATCAAGGATAAAGAGCTATATCGATATATCTGCTTATCTGTGCATAGATAAACTGCAGAATACCTAAGAACTTGATAATAAATGTTACCTGCTGGAATTAGGTAGGGCAAAAACGGGGCAGAATTTGGCCAGGATGTAAGACTTTTAATAAGTCCTAAAATTTTATAACTATGACATTTAAACCAGGTGACAGTATTAATTATTTTTTAAAAATATCGCTATTTTTTGACTGTTTATTTCCTCTTATTTTCCAAGGCGGCGTGGTAAGGTCAGAGATAGTGATGAAGAGAATGAGCCAGAGGATGAAGATGCAATTGCTAATGCGGTGGGGTGTCTCGGACCTTTCACTGGGCTCCTGGTGCCTGAACTTCAGAAGTACCAAAAACAGATTAAAGGTGAACTGGAGGCTGTAAATTTAGATCATCAGGATGTGTTGGGTCATTATAACAAGATATTGTTCCTGTATCCTGTGAAATTATGTGCTCCGGGATGGCACCATCACTTCTATACATCTGAGCATTAGTCTTTCTCATTGATTTTATATAAAGTAACATTCCTCTTTCTATTTTCTTCTCTGGGGAGAAGTGATTTTAGTAACAAATGAAGTATATTTTTGAGATGTTCAGCTTTTATCTGAACAGTGGATATTATCAGAGGTTGAATAATTGAAATCCCTTAATCTTTTAGCTGGGTCCAGGCCAGATTCACATATTGTACTTGAGAAGCCTGGTCCTCTGCCCTTTGTCCTGTGCAGTAATTATTTCTCACTACAGTAATAATTTCTTTTCTTGGATGTAATCACAATTTTATTTAAGGGACGAATCTACTAGTTGTTGATGTCACGGGAACATAAACCATATCAGATGTAGGAAGCAGCCAGGAAATGTTGGTTAAATGAATAAAAACATCCATTTCCTGTGATACAGTGTGCTAAAGCTCCATACATTTATAAAATGTGTCAGTATTTTTATTTTAAGGAAAGTGCACTTTTCATGACTGTCTAACGTCTACAAACTGCCAGTTTTTTTTATAAATCCACACGTAGTTGTATGAGGATCTGCACAGTAATTTTAGACATCTGGTGTTTTTCTAAGGGAATTTCAGAAATGGCATTGATTTTGTCTAGAAGCAGTTGATCTTATGTGTATATAATAAACACAGAAGTAACAAAATCAGTGAACCAACAAAGCTCAGTTGTGACCCACAGTTAGGCTAATATGAAAATATGGAAGCCAATCCAAATAGGTACTAGACAAATTCTAGAGGACATTTTTGTGGTTTTGAATTCTCGGAGGTTAAGGTATTACATTGGGTTATAGTGTAATTAACTCCTGTTTGATCCTGTCACTCTTTCCTGAGTGCAGAGGCCAGTGAAGACCAGAGTCTGACATCCAACAACATTGCAGAGCTGAGTCCAGGAGCCATCAATTCCTGTCGAAGTGAATACCACGCAGCATTCAACAGCATGATGATGGAACGCATGACCACAGACATCAATGCTTTGAAGCGGCAGTATTCGCGAATTAAAAAGAAGCAGCAGCAGCAGGTCCATCAGGTCTATATCAGGGCAGGTAATGGACTCTTTGTGTGAGTCAATTTCATCCTGATTTCGGCTTGTGCAGTGAAGGCCTCAGGATTACCAACTGCAGCTCAGCATCCATAAATTCAGCTGGCATGAGATCATAGTGCACTTAACATCTCATTTTAAAATTGTATTTTATTAGGCTATAAAGAAGAAAAAACTCATGGGTTCCTTATAGGGCCCAAGGACCAGTCAACCAATGGTATTAACCACATACTTATTTTGTGTGCTTGTGGAGATGGGTTGACAAATGATGTAGAATTTTGGAAAGCCCTACAATCCTTGGACTTGAGAAATTTCATGCATTTGACAGTAGAATTTAGTTGTTTGTGCACTAGTAAATTAAACTATACACTAGTCACTTGGGAGTAATATAACAGATGTTGTGAGCAGGGAAAATGGGGGAAAAACATTAAAAAGCTTGTGCTCACTGATGGTTAGCAGTATTCTGGGAGTGTACCAAGAAGACAATTAGAATGCAGTTGGAAATGCTCTTTTCCAAGGATTTACAAGCGTATGTTTTCTTTTATTTTGGAAAATCTCTGAATAATCTGCTTTATTGTGAATATATGCTGATTTGGGAGTGATTATTCTTATTCTAACTAAATATCCTAATGAAAATCATACTTGTCCAAATTAACCAAGACGTAAATTTGACATGTTTTTAAGTGGCTTGTGAGCATGTGACTGATCTGACATAAAAACTGAATTTACTTTCACTTTCCAGGAGAAATAGGTAACTCTTGAAGGTTCTGGCTTTATCCTGAATCATTAAAAAAGCCATTATAGATCAAAAGATGATTTATGCATGTATGAAAATGTTGCATTGATACTCAGACTTTTATAAAATTGATATAGGCTAATAATGTATTTTAAAAGGAAAACAGTCACAAAAAAACTAAATAGTGGAAACACTTTAATTTTAAAGCACTTGCACATACACTTCCTTTTTTGTCATTAAATCATCAGAACCACAGTGATTTCCAGTTGTCAACTAACTTCCAAAATCCATTGAGAACACAGAAGTGGTTTTCCATGCTTAGTTCTAGGACTGAGCAGTATGATTCCACTGAGTTTCTCAGTATTGTCCATCTCTGCTGTCTCTCACTTCATAACATGTGTTTGGTGTGTTCTTATCTTATTTCTTAGAAGTTGACAGCTGGTAGCCCTAGGTCATAGTGTTGGTCATTTCTTTTTTTTTTTTTTTTTTTTTGAACTAGGAATCAAACTCAAGACTTTGCACTTGCCAGGCAAGCACCATTCCACTGAGGTATATCTCTAGCCCTATCATCTTATTTTCAAAAGAATTTTATGAATATAAGATCCCTGAGTGGTGGCACATGCCTGTAATCCCAGAACTTGGGAGGCTGAGACAGGAGCATTGCCATGAGTTCGAGGCAAGCTGAAACTACCTATTGAGACCCTCTCTCCCTTTCTCCCTCTCTCTCTCTCCCTCTCCCCTCTCTCTCCCTCTCTCTCTCTCTCCCCCTCTTTCTTCCCCTTATTCCTTCCCTCTCCCCTCTCTCTCTTTCTCTACCTTCTCTCTCTCTCTCTCACACGCACACACACACACACACACACACACACACACACACACACACACGGACCTCTGAGGTTTCTGTCAATAAAAAACAAAGGCTTTCTATGAAAACAAATGTTTAAGGAGTGTGGGCTTCCGTTAAAATAATAAGGAAGTCAGAGTCCCTCTTCCCTTTTAATTCCCCTCCTAGTGTCCTCTTTGAAGAGAGGGGACTTGGTTCTCCCAGTGCTAGGGTTGAATTCAGTTCTGCTGTCCTCAGTCACATGGGCCTACCGGAATGTGAGAGTACATGGGCAGGAATATGGGAGGGGACAGGGATCTTCATGTGGTTCAAGGTGGACATGTTTCTCTGTGGTATGTTTCATAACAACCTTTCAATATTTCTTTCAGACAAAGGGCCAGTGACCAGCATTCTTCCTTCTCAGGTAAACAATTCTCCGGTTATAAACCACCTTCTTTTAGGGAAGAAGATGAAGATGACAAACAGAGCTGCCAAGAATGCAATCATCCACATTCCTGGCCATGCAGGAGGCAAAGGGTCTCCTGTCCACTATGAAGACCTTAAGACGAAGCTCAACTCTCCATGGCGAACTCACATCCGAGTTCACAAAAAGAACATGCCAAGGACCAAGAGCCACCTGGGCTGTGGTGACACCATAGGGCTAATAGAGGAGCAGAATGAGGGCTGCAAAACCAACAGCCTGGGGACAGGGGAAGACTTCTCCTCCAGCTGTGCAGCAACCGCTGAAAGAGAAGGCAGTAATTCTGAGGGCACCATGAGGACAGTTGAAGGGCAGTCTCCAGAGCCAGCGTTTGGGCATGCTGGTGTTGATGTGTCTGCAGTTCAGGTGAAGTTAGAAGCTTTGGAACTGAACCAAAGAGATGCCCCTGCTGAAACCGAAGCCAAGGTGCACCCGCTCTGCCAGCAGAATGTTCCAGAGCCATACAGTGCCCCTGGAGAAAATAAAGCTACCAGCAAACCTTCCCATGGCAGTCATTCAAAAACACCCATCTTTAGTCCTTTTCCTAGTGTCAAACCACTGCGGAAATCAGCCACCGCCAGGAATTTGGGATTATATGGCCCTACAGAAAGAACTCCAACTGTGCACTTTCCTCAGATGAGCAGGAGCTTCAGCAAATCCAGTAGTGGAAGCAGTGGCACTAAGAGACGATGATGTCTCCTGGCGACTTTGAGGCTGGACTTACCTTGGCACGAGGACCTGGGAGTTCCAGCTGCAGTTTCATTTGTTTGATGAACATGAGTAGAGGTTCAGAGATGAGCAACAATAGCCCTCTGAAACAGGATTTGGAAGTTCTATAGTGGGAGCTAAATTAGAGATGTTTTCACATCTACTTGATAAAATGGATTCTTGGATTATTTTTTCCAGGAGAAATAAATATTGTGGTTTTCAAGTGTGAAGTTTTCCCAATTCTTCCTTGTGAAATATTTAGAAAAGGTTATGTCCAGACTGTTACATGCTCTTCTGTCCCTCTGTTCTGAGCACCTTTGAGAATCCCTGTAACAATACCTCCCAAACCTTCTAGTTCTCTGGTGTTATTACTACTTAAGCATGTATAAACCAGCTTGCTAGAACTTAAACTGTAAAAAGAAAGTAAGTTTCTTAGATGCAAAAAATTCCTGGTTTTTCTCTTCCTGCACTGTTAGTGGGGTGATTGTTTGCGTGTGTGAATTTTTCCCTCAGTACCTGTCACCGAATTGATATTTATCTATTAATTTTTAGTACCAGGGATTGAACTCACGACCTCATGCTTGCCAAGTAGGCACTGTGCCGCTGAACTATATCCCCTGCCAAATTGATTTTTATTTTTCTGCTAAAATGTAGGTGAAAAGATCAAGATAGCTTTTTTAAAAACTTTCTATTTCTACCTGCAAAATGAAGAAAGACTTTCAACTGTTGAAATTTAGGTTGATAACCATATTGAAGATCATAAATGGGATATGCATTAAGTACTTGCTGTGGATGGCTTGCTAATTCCACTAAGCTTTTCCCAAGATTCATTCTCTCCTCTCAAGGAGAACATTGGTCCTCGGTGGTGCAGATGACTGGATAGGCTCTGCACAGAGCCTTTTCTGTATCCTCAGCCATGCAGCTCTTTTTCCTGCCAGCTCTCTAAGACAGATGTGCATTGTCTCTGCCCAAAAGCCAGAACACAGCACTGCGACTCTGTTACTTGAATTTTGTGCTTTTTGAGTGGATTACTTTGTTACTTGAACACTGCCTTTCTCCGGAGAAGGCCTTGTGCTTTCTAGCTCTCTCTCACCCACTCCACTCCTGTCCTGGTCCCAGTGGGTCAGAGATAGCACCTCTTGTCTACACTATGCAGTTGGGAACTCTGAGCCACACAGAAGTGAAGTAGCACTTGAGTTACTCAAGGTCAATACTCCCGATATTCCCATGTGACACAGCCACGGTTCCTGCAGTTCAGCAGGCAGGTTTATTGCTCTTTGTAGACAGATGCACTGACTACAGAGCTTGTACAAACCAAGACGGGGAAGCCATCCCCACACCACCACCCCCCTTGACTTTCAAAGGACCTTTCTCCATATGGTACAGAATCCTGTGACAGCATTTCATAAAACCAGCTCTGACCTCCTTGTCCTGAAAAGATAGTTCATTTTAAAATCACTTAATTCATTTGTCCTCTGGCTGAACAAAAGGCTCACTCTTCAGTTGTCTTCTTTCCACCATCATTGGAATAGATTCACGTCTTTATCATCATCTCTGGAAGACCTTGGCATTGCTTACAGGAATATTGTCAGTGCAGTCAATACTGATTTGAACTAATTGATTTGTTAATTTTGAAGCCAAAGCTATAGTTTTAGAAGGGACTTTTACTATGAGAGAGGCATTTTTAAAATAGTAAAATAGAATGTGGTTGTGTGGGCTTTTTTTTGAACAGAAAAACAGAAAAGTGACATATACACTGAGAAAAGCCATTTTATCCTCTTTGTGGTATTTTTACCTCTAGAGGAATGGAAGATGGAAAGTATGACTGATAAGCCATTACAGTTTTGGCCTTGAGTTCTGTGCTATCTGAAGTCAGTGTGCAGCTTCTCAGCGAGCAGCCACACCCACAGCCTGCTTTTTGGGAAGGGTGTGGGAGTTAGAGGTGGGCTCACTTTTCATACTGCCCCCACAAGATGAGACCGGCTGCATTTTCCAAAGCTAAGCAAATGACATGGTTCCATCTGTTAACCTTTAAGATAAGAATGAGTTCACCTCATAATTGCACCCCTTATCCCATCCTAGTGAGTCAGACTGGTCATGTTTCCCTTGAGGGATATCTGGCTCAAAAGAGTTTTGTTCTCTCCTCTCTAGAGGCAGCTCCCCTGGCTCCCTGAGGGTCTGAATGTAGGAGGTGGATAATGAGACGGAGCTGTCTGCCTGCTGTCTTAGTGTTGCCACCACATGCTGTGACCTGTCAGTATTTCTTCTGTTTCCCAGAATAGGTCTTCCTGAGAAAGCGATGGATGAGATGACATGTGGTTTGGAATAAGTAAGTCCTGGTTGAATGGAACAAGTGAAAAAGATAAGGCCTTTGAAGACAAAAATGACTTTGTCAGAATTTTAGACTCCACCTAATTCCTGTTAAAACAGTCTGTACCAATAACACATGCATGCACTGCACCAAGTAATCAATGTGAATTGATCAAATTTTGAGCCTTGCCTACTTTACAAAATAAAGAAATATGAGTAGCATCTACCACACAGCATGTACAAAGGCCAGTATGGATTTGCTATCTTCCCTGTGTATTGGACACTGTGTGAAAACACTAGAAATACTTAACAAGTAGCAGTTTATTTCTAGATAGGTCTGTACCCTCTCGGCACTTTTTTTCCAAGAGTCAACTCTGCACCTCAATCCTCTTTTAAAAGCTGCTAGATAATCTAAATCTACTTTGTAATGTTGACCATGGGGATGTAACTGTTTGAAACATTGTATTCTGTTTTTTGGTTTGTGTGTGTGTGTGTGTGTGTCATTGTTTTTGAAGAACTGTACTGATTACAAAAATATATGCATAAAGATTCTCAATGTGGTGGTTGTGCTATTTTATATCCAAGCACATGCATGAAACACTGTTGAGACATTCCCCTCTTCCTTTTCTTGTCTGTCCCTCCCTGCCCTGCTCCCACCTGGTCACAAGAACCAAGGAACCAATCCAGTAAGCTCTGTCTCCCCCAACTTGATCACTGACTTGCAGGATGGCCTACAGCCTGCTCAGAAAGAGGCAGAATAGCTGGTTCCTGAATGTAAACAGAATATATATATATAAACTAATTTTTAGATCTAAATTTCCTTTGTTTTGATAAAACAGACCAATAAATGCAATTTAGCTTCATGAATAGAGAATTGCAATCAAGCATACAGTTGGTACTGTCTCCCTTCGTATATACAGTTCTGAACTACTTTCTATGCTGTCTACAGAAATCAATTGAGGTAACATTTATTTTTTTAAATCTTTTTTTATTTAAAGAAAGACTAAAAGCAGTAAATGGGTAGATATAATACATAATTTCAAAGAAAAAAATAAACTAATAAATCACTAGTTGATGTTTACATATTGTCCTCTTACAAATAATTGTTCAAGATGCAAAAGTGGAACATATAAGTGGGAATTCAAACAGTGAGATTGCCAATAGTTCTATTCAACTATCCAACAAAAACTTAGTAATATGGTTATCTATCCTGTACACTTATATATGCATTTATCCATATCTTCATTTATGTTGAGACCTAACAAAACTTATTAGATTAAAATCCTTCTGAATGAAGATTAATAATATTGCTGGATTTCACATCGTAACACTCCAGAGTCAGCACTGGGTACCGCAGTGCCCCTTTTTTTCCTTCAAAGTATTTGTTCATTTCATCACGTGTCATAATATCAGTTCTCATAAACTGTTCATAGGCTCTACGAATGCATGAGTCTTAACATGTGTTTCTATTCTTTCTATATTAGAGGGGGAAACAAAACCAAGTAGGAAAGAACAGAACATATTCCTATAGATACATAAAATGAAAAAGACATGTAAAACCACTGTACAAGGCATTCTACGATGGTTACTGTGTTATCTCTTGTTATCTTCAACAGAATTGGATATATTATCAGATATAGTATAATTGAATATATCAGTATATAACAGTATTGATAGAAACACAACTTTGTAGATAGTGTTAAATTGCAAAAACAGGTAGTAATCAAACCAGAATGGGTATCATAGTGAATCTTGTCATTTTCAGTATAGTTGTCTATACGCTTAGACTTGATACTATCAATTATAACAGTTTTGAATAAAATCTGTCGATAACAAACAGCAATCAAACCAGATTTAACTAAGATCAGTCATGATATAACAGTATACATTATACAGGGCTCCAGATTAAGTTAATAGGAAATTAAAGATGATTACTGTGCTATATCCTGACATTTTTGGGATGGCTGTCTGTGCCATCAGATCTAGGGTTTGTAGACAAACTGGGACAGCATAAGTTCTATCTAAGCAGAGTGGTATGAGTAATATGGGTTTTGATTCTTGATACACTATTAATTGTATCTTCTGCTGTCTTTTTAAAGACTGTTCCTCTCCTTCCACTCCCCCAGGGAATACTGTGCATTTTTGAGTCTCCCCAACACCCTCGGTTTTAAATTGAGGCAACCTGCTATTTACCTAAGTGGTTCCAAACCTCTCTCCTGGGCTTGATCTCTAGTTGTATTCCTTTACCTATTAAAGCCTGTCTTTCCAACCTATCCACAAATAATGGTCTAGTTGCCCATATTACTCTCTGGTTCTCTGTCACATAGAGCATTGTTTTCTCATATTTGATTTTCAGTCCATGTACTCTTTTTCATGTTAATTATATTTCCTATAAATAGCATCTCAGTGGACCCTACCTCCTGATCTACTCTACGTGTGGTTCCTTTTTTTAAATTTAGTGTATCTAGGCCATCTATATTAGAGATTATTAGAGATTATAGCCAATCTTCTGTGCCTAGTTTCTGTTGTGCTCTTTTTCCATTATTAGTTGTGTGTTTGTCTTCTTCATTTTGCTTTCTGCTCCATTAACTGAGGCCTTTCTTCCACTGTTCCTGGAATCCTGATGCTTTTCTCTCTCTTTAGAATGTCCTGCAGTATTCTCTGTAGAGTTGGATTGGTGGTTGTGAATTCCCTCAGTTCCTCTTTGTCTTGGAAGCATATTGTCTCTCCATTAATTTCTAGAGATAGTTTTGCAGGGTACATCAATCTGGGCTGGAGGTTATTTTCTTTCAGGGCTTGGAATACTTCACTCCAGGCTCTTCTTGATTTGATGGTTTGTGTTGAGAAGTCTGCCATAATTCTGATGGGCTTTCCCTTGTAAGTAATGTTTCTTGTCTCTGGCAGCTTTTAATATTCTGTTCTTATATTGGATTTCTGGGATCTTGATTGTTATATGCCTGGGTGTAGATCTGTTTCTGGGTGTAGGTGGCTGGAGTTCCGAATGCTTCATACATGTGAATATCATTTCCTTTTCCTATGTTTGGGAAGTTTTCCTTAATTATTTCTATGAATGGCCTTTGTAGTTCCTTTGTACCCCTGCTTCTTCATTCACATTCTTTATTCTTAAGTTATAAATCCTCTTGCCATCTTCTAGCCTTTGTATTATTACTGCTTGTTTTCTTGTTATTTTTAAGAAATTTTTTCCTTTCATGATCCCACATTGCAAACCTCTCCTCCAGTTTGGATAATCTATCCTTAGTTTCTTTCAAGCAGTTTTTCCAACTTTCAATGGAGTTTTTAATTTCCTGATAATCTCTTTGAACCTGCTTCATATACTCTTATGTATTCTTTATATTCTTCATCAAACAATTCTCTTTTGTTGTGCTCCTCCATTCTTCCATCTGTGTCTTCTTGATATGTGCTTAGCATTTCTTTTATTATTCTATTTATATCTTGCTTTACTTGGTTAAATATTTCACTTTTGAACTCATCTATGAGATCCTGAATATATCTCTTTATGTCCACTAGTGCTGTGCCTGATATTGTATGTTTGCTGTCATCAATCTCCTTTGTATTTACCTTTCCTGGATCAATGTTCTCAGGGTTGGTTTTCTTGTTGCTTTCTCTTCTCATATTTTTTATTTCTCCCACTCAGGTGTATGTAGAAGGCCCCAGTTTCTTTCTTTGTTGGTTATAATTCTTCTTCTGAAGTGCACTGGCTAGATGGACCTGCCCACTGCAGGGTGCTATTGAGGTGCAAACGGGCAGCATATGCTGGCCCCTCCTCTCCGGGTCAGTCAACCTGCTGAGGCCTTCACTGCTTAGTGTACACCTCCGGGTGTAGGGAATTGGTTTGGGCTAAACTATTGGCTCTCAGCCCCAGGCATGACCCCAGGTCAAGCACACCCCACCAATCCCGTTTGAGAAGGGAGAAACTGATTGAAGTCATTGCTGCTCCTTGTTCTTGCCAGTCTGCCTGGTCCCAGAATATCGTCTGTTGGAGCCCCTTTTTCTGTGGAATGGTTTTATTCCTGTCCTCACCGCAGATCGATAAAGGTTCCCCACCAGCTCAGCTCTCCATTCAGCTCACTGACCTCCAACCTCAGTGTGACTGTGTTTCCAGTGGTTTGAAGTGGTAGAATTTCAGGCAGCTCTGTAAGTCGCTGCCACGTGAGTAGGGGTGCTGCAGCAGGGGCACTGAGCCTTTAGCTGTTCCCAATAGTAGTACCAGGACTGTATGTTTGATTGGTTCTTCCCATCTTAGTTTCTTTCTGGATCGAGAATATTCATCTCCCTCTGTTTGGGACTCCCCACGCTGTGTTATTTTGAAATCTATCTCAGGGAGCCTCTATAGCCTGCTGTTATCTATCTGTTATCTATCCACCATCTTTACCAGAACCCAACTGAGGTTGGGTTAAAACATCTTTCCTAATTAGAAAAGCAACATGGTTTAGAACACTTAGAAAACACAAGAACGCATAAATATTCTGGCACAGGTCCTTTTAATTTGTTCTTTTGTTTATACATGTGTATATTCATACATGCATGTATATATACTGTTATCTACATAATGGTATAGATATATTTAGTTTAAGCTGTCTCTCTAGTAAATGCACTTCTACACCACCATTTTTAGAGAATGGTATTCCATCCTGTGTTCTTGTCAGAATTCACATAACCTGTACCTTGTTGTGACCAGTGCTTGAGATTTGCTATCTTGAACTCAAGAAAATGGGCATTATTAGGTTCCATCAAAGAATTCTAGATCTTTTAGAATTGGAAATGATAGCAATAAAAATTTATTTTATTTATTTTTGGTCTCAGGAATTGAACTCAGAACCTTGTGTTTGCTGGGCAGGCACTTGTGCCACTGAGCTATGTCCCTGGCCTGCGATAAAATTTTAAGTTCAAAGTGTTCACTAAAGTATTACATTTACTAGTAGAAACTTGGAAATAAAGTAAACATCTGAGAACAGGGAACATGGTCAAGTGAATAATGGTTTATCTACAAGATAGTAATGCAATGACTGTTTGGGTCACTGAAATAGAAATTATTAATACCATAAATTTTATTAAACCAGCAAAATCTAGAGTCATAGAATTACAGGCATGTAGCTGTGGATGAGAGGTTCCTTCTAGATGGTGACTGGATACAGAGCTTTATCTCTGGTTCTTTCACACAGGCAGCCTGTCTTTTCAGCTGGGGACTACATGGATTTTGGAAGACGAGGTGCTGAATCAGCTTTCATGCATTTTTTTGCTGGCCATTTCCTAATGCTGAGTGTCTTAGTTATGCTGCTGCAACCAAATAGCATAGACTGAGTGTTAAGCAAAAGACATTTCTTTCTCGTTTCTGGAGGTTGAAAAGTTCAAGATCAAGTTGATGTTCCCTCAAATGAGCGAAGAGAGCTCACATTTCTTTTAAAAATGAACAGTTGATCAGGTTATCCCTTGAATTCTTTCATCATCTTTTTCTGCAGGATAAAAGATAAAATTCTCAGCGTGATCAGTCTTATGGATCACTTCCCAGTTTATTTCTCCATTTTTCCCATCACT